TTCGACTTAGCCGCCGTAGGTTACACGAGAATTGGAAGGAATTAGCGACAGACTCGCCGATTTGCCGCACGACAATGCTAAGTTTAATTCTGATAATTGATGTAGAAGAGATATGGTACATAATAACAAATTAAAGAATTCAATTCTATATAATTAATAGACATTTATTATATAAAAGAATGTAAATTTATGTATTCTTTATTTAGAAACAATTTCAGAAAGTATTCTTTCCTCCTAGGCTAAGAGCAAAAGCAACCTTTTAAATACATTTTTATTTCTTATAAGATCTATGCTAAGAATATAACATTAATGCTATAATTCTAAATCCAACATGCAACTTATTTTATCATTTATGCAAAAACATATATGCAACTAGAAGAAATTCACATAAGTTAAACCACTAAAAAAACATAAAAATAACCAATATTATACAAGTATATAATAATACATTTATAAAATATATTTAGCAACTTAATTAATTAAACAAATATGAAAATGAAAGACACAGGAAAAAATTATTCATTACAGTATCAAACCTATTGCTAACTTGCCTAAATAAGATAGGTGGCACATAAGTACCACCTATCATGCTAGTTATTATAATATCAATAATATATACTGTATTATAAAAAGTTAATATATGATTGAGATGAGAATGTAATATTAGTTGATGAAAAGGTTCAAGCAAATAGGATCTGTAAATATAATATATTAGGTTGAGTTACAGTTACATAGAGATATAGTTAAAGTTTCTTGACTTGAAAGTTAATTATAGTAAAATGAGATAAGTATGTATTGTAACACTTGGTAAAAATAAAATTATTTTAAGTAGTTTGAGTAGCGGATGGGTATAAGTTATGCTGAGCAATTAAGGTAACAGGTAAGTTTAGAGTTACTGTTTTTCTTTTAGAAGTATAGTGCACTTTGTGTGTTCAGATGAGAATGATGTTGTATTAAGTTATTAATATCAGTGTGAAGAACAAGCTATTTGTCTGCTATCATACATAGCGGTCTTATACAGATCATAAAATACTTATCCAGGCAGGTCAGGAATTGACCTGGGTTATAACCGAGGTCAATGGATCATACGGAAATTTATAAAAATGATTCTTATTGCTATTAGTATGAAGAGCACCTTACTCCAAATATTTAAACTGGACTTGGATATAAACTCTATTATTTAGTATAAATTATAATGTCTTCGACTCATTCAGTAAATTGCGTAATACGAAGTTTCAGAATTAACTTATTTCGAACATAAGTGGAAGTTTAAAAGATCCATCTTCGATTTTAAAATTTCGACTCAGAGAATTAAATACACACACATTATTAAAATTAAACTTTTTTTTGATAAATAGGTAAACGATTATGTAAGTTTATACATTAAGAAAATAGGATTTTTTGATCATATGTTTGACGTAAGTTACCTTTCTTTACAATATCTATTGTCTTATAGTGAAAGTGGCTCCTTTATTAAAAAGTAACACAGCTAGGAATACAATGAACACTTGAGCAATGAGTTAGCAGTGTTGGGTAGTTATTGGCAGGTTTCGTGGATATGGTGACAATGCAAGGATCTTGTTTTTGTTTCGCAATGGCAGTGTATTTTTTTGCTCTGAGGTCTTTATGGCAGTGCAAAGATTTTATAATAAATATCTATAGATCAAAACGTCAATAATAATCACTGAATATCACCGAATGTTCATTGAATTAATCAGTGAAGAATAAATATATGCGAAATTCAATTTTATGAATAATAACATATTCGAACATTCGAATATCCGAATAATTATTCAACGGATCAAACCTCTACTCCCAATAGCATTTTAATTCTGACCCGCTTGGCCCGGGCTAGTGCAATTTTAGACCTGTGACCCGCCGGTCAGGTGACCCGTATGGGTCAACCAACACGATAAGACTTCTAATCATACAGGGTGTTAATTAGCTAATAATATATAGCTATAACTAATAAAATCTAATATTAACCCTAGGTGATGGCAGGAATATAAATGGCCTGTCATGAAGTAGCCATCGGGAAGGTGAGCAATAACGGATTTTATTAACTCCTAAATAATCGCGCCAACAATCTTTTACAAAATAATAGCACAACCGAGTAAAACTCAATATGAAGATCTTTATTGAATTCAATGCCTGATAAAAAAAAAAACATAAGCTAAGATTGCAAAATAATAAAATAAAATTTTCTCGCAGGTGATTTCAAATACCATTTTAATGCTTTTCGTCTTCTTCAAAGTTACATTCAGAGAAAAAAAATAAGCCAAGATCGCAAAATAATTTTCTCGCAACTGATTTCAAATACCATTCATTCAGGGAAAAAAAATTGAACTAAATTGTAATGAAATAAAAATAATAATCCCACCAGATAAAAAGATAAATAAAAGAACTTCCCGATAAAAAAAAAGAATAAAATAAAATAAAATTCTTAAAATTTGCTATTGAAGAGATAAAAACACATCAATAATAAAATAAAAACGGATAAATAATTAAAAAATGATAAAGTATAAAAATAAAGTATTCAAAAAAATAAATGATATGATATAGTCAAACCTATCAGTGTGCGCGCTATACAAGAGAAGTCTGCAAATATTCCAATACGGCTTTTATATGTATCTTTAAATTTAATTTTTATTTTTATGGGTTTACTAAAATGCACCAATGGTGCTGAACACCATGCATAGTTGCTATATCTCAAAAACGCACCAACTAACACCTCTCAGAAGTATTAAGTAAATAAAGTTTATCGCATTCTTTTTTTAATTTTTTTTTTTTTTTAATTTTTTTTTAATTTATTCTCATATTTTTTTATTTTTTAATTTTTTCTATTTTTTTTTCATTTTTGAAACTAGATATGTGTAATCCTTGTTTTAATTTAATTAAACAACTATTTTTCCTTTTCATCTTTTGGATCCGGTCTTTGATCCTTATCGTGTTTATCTTGGTCCAACAAGGAAATATCTTGATGCATAAGACAATTCAACTTACTCATTTGTGCTAAGAATTCTTTATAATGAACAGGGTAAATATTTTCTGCTTCAATAATTTCAATGTATTCTGCGTTGGCAATCTCAAACTGATCATCTTCTGCGTCAATAATTTCAACGTTTTCTAAGTTGTTATTCTCAAACTGACCATTCTTTTCTGCTTCAATAATTTCAACGTCTTCTGCGTTGGTATTCTCAAACTGAACGCTTTCCGTCCTGTTATTTTTACATTCATCCCTTTTTACACGGAGTTTTGTTTCATAGTATTTAAAGGTTTCGGGACTATAGTTCACGAAGTTATCTGATTGCTTGAAACGCGGATGGAAATCGGGAAAAATATAAGATACCTTCTCTCCAGTAGACTGATTGCAAGGAACATCAGGAACGCCAGAAGTGCAACGTTTTCCGAACTGATAACAAGGAACCCCTGAAGTGCAAGGTTTTTTACTTTGAATACAATCACGAACAGCAGCAGAAACCCGTCTATGTAAAATTTCACGAGTCTTGCCGGGGATTGATTTATTACATCCATAAGCGTGAGTTTTTTTCAAATATTTATAAACTTTCTTGATATTAAAATGGGGTTTCATTACAGATTTCATATGCGTGAATAGATACTTTGCCAGAAAACCAAGTCTGTTACTTCCACATAGAAAGCAATTTTTATTATAACAGTTCGATATTTTGTTTAACTGTTTGAAGATAAGCTGTCTAAAAAGCCAGAAATCAGCAAGTGGTTGAAATGGAAAGAGTATAGAATGAGTTGTAATTGAACATGAGAATGAAATTACAAGTCGGTTTCCTGGAGGAAATTCACGAGAAAAGGTAATATTCTGAATATCTTCGACAACTACCATTTTTTTTTAGTACTTGCCGGTAACAAACAAATTCAAAAGATAAAAATTAGGCCAGTTGATTTCGAAATATTAACGCACACATATATATATAAGCCGTTAGCTATAATTAAAATTAGTAGTTCCTTATCACAATTAGACTGCAGCTTGCTGATCAAACCCCAATTAGTTAATTAAGATAAATATATTACGTACGCTATTAGCTATAGTTGAAAATTAGTAGTTCCTTTATCACAATTAGATGATCAAACCCCAATTAGTTAATTAAGATAAATATTACGTACGCTATTAGCTATAGTTGAAAATTAGTAAGTCCTTATCACAATTAGAAACCCAATTAGTCAATGTACTATTACAATAAAGATAAATATATTTATACTGTTATTGCAATTAGCCGCAGCATAAGTTACACGTTGAGTTACTTAGTGGTATTTATATTATGTATAAAAGTACCACATTGTTTGTTGGGCATTACAGTATGCCACCTGTGTTCGTATTCTCTTGCGAGTTCCCGCCAGGGAACAGATTAATCATATCATTTGAATGCAACCTTACGCAACATTCGATAATTTTCTGCACGAATAATTTTCTTGAAACCGTTAAAAAACATCCTCGATGTAATTTTTTTTTTCAATTTAGAATAGCATTCAGAGGATCTCGGTTACTGACTTGGAACTGCAAGGATCCCGATTGTCCACTATATAATAATCAGAAGCAAGGATGTTTTTCTAAGCTTGTCTCTGACATATACCATAAAATGCCGGAGAATGTAAAGTCGTATCTAAAGGCTGCAACGTCAATTAATGGAAACGACCTAGAAGTAAATAATGATTTTCGGCACGTGACAGATTCTCTTTTAACGCGTGGAGAAAACCATGGGCAGTTACAGTTGCATGCAGATACAAACACTTATTCTGGAAATTATACAAACGAATTTGGTAAATATTTTTTATTCACATATATATATATATTTTTGTTACATTTTCATATGTGGTTTGTAAATATAGATCAAAGCTTGGACCCAAACAACTTTCAAGAGGAACCTGTCTCTATGACTCAGGAAGAGGAATTCATATTTATAACTCAGGAAGGAGAAATTATCTTTGTGACTCGGGAAGAAATGAACCGCTATGAGGCCTTGGAAGACCATGAGGCCTTGGAAGACCACCATGAGGCCTTGGAAGACCATTATGAGGCTTTGGAAAACTATTACACTGTGGATGAGGTAGAGTAATGGTAAGTTTGTAGTGGTAAACCAATGTGAGACTTTAATCATTTTAATGTCTATGGACGGCAGCCATATGTTCAACAAACAAAATATCACGACTGTTTAACATATACGCTAAATTAATTTATCATAAGAATTTTTCTTTGGCATTTTTTTTTTTTAAAGAAAGAATATGTATTGTTAAACCACTGAAAAGAATAGCTAATATTATTTAATTCAGATAGATGCCAATCTCTTGTTACTTTCATTTAATTTTATCTTCATTTTTTATGTAATTATTTTCGTTCTTGTTGTGTACATTCTTTTCGTTCTTGTTGTGTACATTATTTTCGTTCTTGTGTACATTATTTTCGTTCTTGTTGTGTACACAAAAAGTGAATTTACAATTTAAAGAGACTTCACACTAGCAAATTAAATTCTGTCCCTCATAAATTATATACATCATTTTCAATTCATGCCATTTCGGAAATGAAAGATTGGATTAATATTATTTGCAATAGTTGGTTCTGCTGATAATTGCTGCTAGAAATCTTTGTTTCTTTAAAAATTATGTATAGAATAACAGAATAAATCCGATATATATATATGGGGTGTTAATAGTAACCAAGCAAATTAAATCAACTCTACTAAAATAGATTCATTAGCGTTAGTTTCAGTTAGCGCTAACGTTAATTAATTAATGACAATTACTATTTGTACACGGCATGATATCGATAGCAACCGATATCTCAAAAATTTCAGTTATAAAAAACCTTTTAGCTTATGACAAAAAAAATCCTTGAGATATTTTGGTATAAACTATACCTCAACCAATCCCAAACCTATATTTACCTTAACCATAAGCGAAGGTTTAAGTTTCATCTGTAAAAATTGGTTTGATAGTCATGTTTCACGAATTTAAAATCACAGAATTAATAAAAGTGTAAAACCCAACAGGAGGGAATGTTTGCAGGAATATACCTATAGTTGGCGGTAGAATTCATTTAACAAATTAATACGGTTACGGCTTGCCGTATTATTTTCCGTAATTTTTTTGAGCCGTAATGCCGTAACCGTAATGCCGTAACCGTAACGCCGTAATGCCGTAACCGTAATGCCGTAACCTTAATGCCGTAATGCCGTAATGGCATAACTGTAATGCCGCTATGTCAAAATACAATAATGCTATTGTATCTAGATACCATAAC